GTAAATAAAATATATCTTTCTTTAACTATATACTTTTCACGAACTGCCCTTAGTGAAGTAACATTCCACTTCCACACTGCTATAATCTCGCAATGAAGCTCTATAGCTGTGTGCTTTGTTATTTGTGCTGTATTAAGAAGGCTACAGTCCACTTGTAACACTATTATACATGATGCCTGAACTTTATAATTAAATCTTTTTCTAAAAATTCCTATTTCAAAACTATACTTGCACTTGAACTCTTTACAAAACTTCATATCTAATTATAATTTTATAAAATTATAGTAACAAATTTAAAAATTTGTCATCAACTTAACTTAAACTATTGACTTTGTTTATAAGGATTTGAAAGCTTAATCAATAAGCTATGAAGCCCAAACTCTATTAATTAAAAAATTTAAATAAAAGATCTACAAATAAATCTTAGATATAATAATTAATAAATGTCACAAATTAAAATGAAATCTGATCAAAATAAAACTAGAAACTTCTCATGCTCACTCTTAAACCTATAAAATCTACATAAACTCATTTATTAATAAATCTAACTCTAAATCTTACCCCTAATACTAAAAAACTCCAAAAATGTCATCCAAAAAATTAAATTTTCTTTAAAAAACAGAAAAATTTTATTTTAATCAAATTTCATTTTAATTTGTAACAATAAATAACTATAAATAAAAAAAATAAATATAATAAAATTTTTTAAAAAAAAACTATAATTATATATATAATCAATTATATTAGAATCTTGAAGAATCTACAAAAAATCCAGATATTATTAAAAAAAATTTATATAAAAATTTATTAAACATTTCATTTTTGTATTGTAAAATTTTAATTTTTGATTTATTTTATATACTTATTTAGCTAAATTATATAAATTCAAATTTAAATTTATATATTTTTTGAGATCCTATTATACTTTTGTTATAACAAGATTAAATATAATTTTTGTGACTATACTAGCATTTAATTTGTAATTTAATAAAATATACCAAATCCTAAAATAGTTATTTAATATTTTAAAAAAAATTATTTTATATATATTTATAAACTTTTAAATTGAATCTAAACTTGACTTAAAAGTTCAATATTAAACCTAAACTAAACTTCTTTAAAAAATATTCAATTCAATTTTAAACTAAACTTAAACTTACCAAAAATTTAGTTTAATTTATAAAAACACTAATCAAAAATAATCTAATTATAAAAAAAAAAACCAAAAAATATATTTCAAAAAAAGGGTTGAAAATTTTATATTAAAGTATATAAAATTTTTAGCTTCAAAATTAAAGGGTATTAACTAAAAATTAAAGCTAAAATAATAGTTTTTTGAAAGCTAAACAATTTAACTTAATGCATCTGATTTTATTATTTATACACACTAATAATGCCGTAAAATAATTATTTTTAATTTGAAAAAAAAAAAGACAGCATTAAAAAAAAGATAAGCGCATTCAAGAAAAAATTGGTCATATTTGAAAAAAAGATGACCGAGTTTAACGCCTTTAGTTTTTCTACAAAAATTCTCTTCCACGTGATTTAACCCAATAAAATCTTTGTATACGGGCTAATTTTTTCGATTTATGTAGATCGTTAATTCTTGTCAAAATTGAGATCATTTGGCTACCGGGGATAGTTTTAAACTCATCCCCGTTAGGCCAAATGACGTAAAAATTTGACCGGAATTAAACCAATTTTTGGGTACGATCTACATAAATCTAAAAATTAGCCCATATGAAATCAGTAAAAATTCCCTTCCACGTGATTTAAACCCATTGAATCAGCAAAAAGACGGTTTTTTCGCTTTTATCTCAAAAAATTGCATATGAACTATCATTTGTGTTCTAACAGAAAAATGATCTTCATGAGATTTGCTTCGGCACGCTAATTTTTTCATCACATTAATTCGTGGTTGATCCAAACTTTTAAGAATTCGGTCAAAGAAATTACGAGAGCCACTGTTGGTAACTTTATCGCTGAATGTTGAGCAATCCAATAATCCAGGATCGCTGGCGTGTCCGTCAATGGGTGACGGTCAAAATCCCGACAAGCACAATCCTGACAGGTCATAATCCAAAAAAATCCCAACAATTAAAAAAATCCCGACTGTAAGAATTTTTAAGTAGAGAATCCCAATGTGGGCATGTTTAAAGCGAAGTAGAATCTTATAATTTAATTAACTTTAGATAAGGGTTAGGCTAGAATTAGCTATGATTTATTCAGAATTTTTAATTGTCGGAATTTTCAACTATCTGATTTTTGCCTGTTGGTATTTTTGCTGTTGGGATTTTTTTGTCGGGATTATGACCTGTTGGGGTTTCGCTTGTCGAGATTTTGACCCAAACCCAATTGCGATACTCAAAAGTTTTGATCCACCTGATTGAGTTGGCAGTATTTTGCGTGTAGGAGTCTGGGCTATGTCCTTCGGGTGTGTAAGTAAAGTGAGCATCGTCTGGGAATGTCAAAGTATAGTACTCCGGGTTGATTGACACGGATTTGGGATTATCGATAAGTTCCGGCGGGAGGAAGTGCGTAGCATAGATGTTGTTAACAGGCGGATTGTCGTGTAAATGAAGGTCTATTTGTTCGAAAGAGTAAAAGTGCAGAGCGTCCAACCATACCTCTGTACTGGTGTGTATGCCTCTAATGCTGTTCATAGGTCTAGTATTTTCCAGTCTCCACTGGATTAATCAGGAAGCCCTGATATTTTTCTCATCTAGGTGTTTCATCACACGATGCATCTTCTCTTTTTTAAAGAACAAAAAGGTTGTGTCTTCGTGCACAATACGTCCCAATACATCCAATATAAAATTTTTTATATTCTTATGTCCTGCGAGTGAGTGAATAGCCCCCGCATATTCAGTCACAGGAATACCATTCTTCAAGCAAACATTTTTAACCGCACCTAATACTAGGTTCGGGCTGAGATAAAGAGCTCCTTAATTCAGCGATATGTCTACTCACCATTTCTTGGTCAATGGCGTTGCGTTCAACCTGTGAACTGTAAGTGGCGAGAGCATTGTCAATTGGTGTTTGCTAGAGTATAACGACCTTTATCTAAAACAAACCCCCTTCTAACCCTAAAAGAACCGATTTTCTTGATTTTCTTAACGATATGTGACGTTGGGGAAAATTTTTGTGGGAGATCCACCACTACGTAACAGCTAATGCCGAGTTTAATCACCAGATCAACATATAGGATCTTTGCCAGGAAAATCACCCTTCGACATTTTTCAATCGGACCAATTCGGACAATTCAAACTAATATACCAGTACTTATTTGCATGTAAATCATTTTGCCTTTATTTATTCAAATGTTCATTCGATAAGCTATTGAATCAATAAGGCAAAAAATGATTTATATATATGTAAATAAGAACCGGTATGTTGGTTAAATGTTCAGAATTAGTCCTATCGGAAAATGTCGGAAGGTGATTTTCCTACATATATGATTCGCCTGGTTATTAATAGGGATGTTAATGGAGTAACATACTCCGGAGCAATCCTGAAGTATAACCCACTCCATACCGGTGTGGTTTTGGCA